CTCGAGAGGAACTCTCTGCACCGGGCAGCAGAGGGGGAGGTACAGGGGGGCATGGCGGGAGGGTGGCCCAGCTGAAGCTCCTCCTGGAGGGGACCGGACGGAGGACACAGTTTGCATTCCTCTGCAGCCCTGGAAGGGGTTAAACCCACAGAGCCTTTTGGTAGAGAGGCCACTTCTTTGCCGCGCCGCAGGATTGTCCTGTGATCGGCACCTCCCCCCTAACCATGGGACCTTGATGGGACCTTGACTGGACGTCTGATCGTGCAGCCACGTGTTATTTTGCTCCAGGGCAAACAGCCATGCCCCCCCCTCGCATTTTCCTGCCCGTATGACCGGGGCCATGAATAAACAAACTTCGTAAGATGGAGTCTGCAGGTCTCAAACCTAGTGCATTCCACCCCCCACCCCTGTTTCTGTAACTAGCATTAATTCATTTAATTGTAGGGAGAAAGGGTTCCTGTTGTTGTCTTTTCCTTTCTTATTAGATCATCTGAGGTTCTTTTCTTTCCCGTGGTGCTCCCTGGAGGTAGAAAGTATAACTGCCACGTATCACCTCAGACACCAAATGTGTCACTGGAAATACAGAAGCCACTTCAAAAGAGACTGTGAACGTCTCCTGTGGGAAGGGAGGGAAAAAATGGGGTGGTGAGAGAATCATCCAGATGAATTATATAAGGTGGAAACAAATCTGAGACAAAAATGCATTTCCAGGAAGAATGGAGGTCTTGAGGAGAAAAAGGAAGGGAGACTGTGTCCTGAACAGAACCACGGAGGTAAGTAAGGAAATCCAGCACTGTGACCATTTCTTAGAGTGCAGTGGGTAACAAGAAAGGGATAGGAGGGAAATATATTGTGTCTCAGAACTTGGTGTGAGAGGATTTTCCGTGCTCTTATAATCTCATCGAAATTCACAAATATTCAGTCAGTTCTGGGAAAGGGAAGAATGGAGCTGCGGTCCTGTAGTGCTTTTATTGAACATGCAGATACTCATATCATACAATTGAAATGATTGAACATATGATTATGGAGTGCTCTATATTCAATGAGTTGAGGGCTAATTTAGTCACCCCTTTACTTAAAGATATGGAAATGCTAAATGTGCGAGCCCAGGTGTCATGACTACTATTGGATACCAATGATCGTGTCACCCTCTCAGTGGCAAAATTCATAGGTGTAATAATCAAATATAAGAGAAATAATATTAAGGTCTTTTGAAACATTCTATTTGGTTCTGAATTCTGCTTAAGGTGATAGCTGTATGAGCAGTACTAGTTACATGATATAGATAGATAGATCGATCGATAGATCGATAGATCGATAGATAGATGATAGATAGATAGATGATAGATAGATGATAGATAGATAGAAGATAGATAGATGATAGATAGTGCTTTTATCAAGAATGTTTAATACTTCTTTTAATCTTTTTGTGTCTTAAATTGTGGTTTTCTTTCAATTCCTATTAATCTGTTATTAGCCACTTTGGGAGTTTAGGATGAAAGGAGGGGTGTAAATTCAGACTCATTCATTCAATGGTTCATTTATGAACCTGCTATTGTGGATAGTTAAACCCAGATATTGTGAACAGATATCGCCTCCATTGCCATCTCCTGATGTCACCAGCAAGGGTGCTGGATCCCCCTGACCATACAGCAACTCTTGGCAGAGACAACTAGCAGTCCCTCAGCAACCCCCAGGAATTATGTCACTAGCTGTGGATTGCTCTCAGAAATAGGAACCTGTTAGAACAGACAGAGAACGGTCTTTTCCATCATTGCTACCTGATGATAATTTGTGTAAAGACGACAGGTTTGGGTCCAAGTAGCTTCTCTGATGTCATGACCGTCCAAAGAGGCATTTGACTGCCAAACAAGGATATACTGGGCATCATAAGACATATGTGGACAAATGCCACCTGAGTTGGGGGCTGAGTGAAAAAGCTGGCTTGATTCAGTCCACAGTGTCTACCATTGAGCCATGGCACTTCCTAAGCAATGTCTTCCCCTGTCTACCACCATCTCCTTTAGTGCCTGGTCTTAACATACAGTGATTTTCACCACTCTAAAGTGCAGTTTATTTGGCCTTTGCAGGTTTGAGCTACCAGCATGGGAAAGGCCGAGCAAGAAAATGAAACAACTGTCACTGAATTCCTTCTTCTGGGCTTTGGGGATCTTGGGGATCAAGAGTTGCTTCTGTTTTTGCTCTTCTTAGTGATCTACATTGTAACCATGGTGGGGAATATCCTCATTGTGGTGTTGGTTGTGGTTGACCGTCACCTTCACACCCCCATGTATTTCTTCTTGGGCAACTTGTCCTGCTTGGAGACCTGCTCCAGTTCCAGCGTTCTTCCTGTGATGCTGGCTAATCTGTTTCATGGGGGCCCAGGAACCATTTCTGTCATGGGCTGCATGGCACAGTATTACTTCTTTGGTTTCTTAGCGGTTTCAGAATGTTATCTCCTTGCGGCAATGTCTTATGACAGATATGTGGCAATATGTAAACCATTGCTCTATATGGTACTTATGAATGGTAAGATGTGCCTCCAGCTAGTAGCTGGATCTTGGGTTAGTGGTTCCATGGCTATAAACATAACTATATATTTAATGCACCAACTGACCTTCTGTGGTCCCTCTGAAATCGACCATTTCTTTTGTGACTTTAATCCCATATTGAAGCTGTCTTGCAGTGACACACATGCCATTAAACTTCTAACTTTCTTCCTAGCTGCTGTGTGTTCCCTCCCCCCATTTCTGTTGACCCTGACATCGTATGGCTACATCATCTCTGCCATTGTCAGCATCCCATCTACCTCTGGCAGGCAAAAGGCCTTTTCCACCTGCTCCTCTCACCTCATTGTGGTGTCCATTTTCTATGGCACCATCATGATCGTTTACTTGTTGCCCAAAACAGAGGCCCTGCAAGACCTCAACAAAGTCTTCTCGATTTTCTATACAGTCCTGACCCCTTTGTTCAACCCCCTGATATATAGCCTGAGAAACAGGGAGGTCAAAGTGGCCTTCAGAAGGGCTGTGGCTAAGTTCTGTTCATTTGAAAGAATGTAAGTTTGCATATTTCGTTTTGTTCATTTGAAAGAATGTAAGTTAGCATCTTTAGAGTCCAGTTTCTCTCTTATTCTGTTAATTTAAGTGGTCTGGATCTGATCTGCTTTGTGCTAGTAAAAAAGGTGGAGGGCATTCAGTCACCAAAAAAGCTGTACTGGGGATCATGGGACGTGCACGGACAAAGACATGCGGAATATAGGTTGTAATAAGGAGGGGAACTGCTCAGGTCATTGTAAGATTTCCTGGCTGGATCCAACCCAATAGTTTTTCAAACCATTATTTTTGCTTGCTCGCGTTGTAATGGCAAACCAGCTTTTCAAAACCCATTGTACTATTATGTATTTTGCTTCATAAATGAATCATTTAACCATTTTTTTGTCTGTTTCCAGTGTCGTGTTGATATTCATGTTTTGAGAGGGAAGAATTCTTTGATTGTAAGTCTTGATTTTAAAATCCAAGTCACAGATAACAATGACAATGCTAATTGTAATAAACAATGAAAATGGTTGTTAGAGACATTTGCTTTTCTGTCGTCAGTTTTCCTACAATATTTCTACCCGTCTTCTCTTAGCTAGCTTCAGTTGATTTCATTGATTTCAAAGAGTTAGAATTAAGGGTGTATTTCACCTTTCCAACAAAATCAATGGACTTTAAAACTAGGTAATTATATCTGGATGGTGCCCAGAGTCTATGTATTCCTGGCTACTTGCTCTTAAAGACTTTATGGTGTAGTAGTAGAAATGTCCAATTAAGACTTTGGTTTACATTCCCACTCTGCTGCAATACTCACTGGGTGACTTTTCTCAAACTGACCCACTGCTCAAGGGTTATTGTGAAGATCAAATGGGCAAGAAGACAACCCTCCACACTGCCTTGAGCTCCTTGGGGAAGGACAGGACACAAATGTAGATTAATGAAAGGGTTCTTCCTAGCCAGTGTTAAGCACTTAATGGAATAAGGTGTGAGTCAGGAGGCCACTGATGCAATTCTCAGCTAAACTATGAACATGCAAGGTGGCCTTTGGCAAGCCACTCTAAGTTTCTTCATGAAGTCTGAATGATGGATAAATAAAAGCTTCATGTTCAGAGGTTGCATACCTCTGAATACAAATTAGTAGTAATGCAATAATAGGGTACAACTTTGCATTCCAATACCTGTTTGTGAGCTACCCAACAACATCTGGTTGGTCACTGTTGGAAACCACACACCTGCTGAGATGGATTTTTCGCTGGAGAATTTTCTTATGTTCTTATGGGAAGACTTAGCTTTCCTGTCGAAAGTACAGAGCCAGCATTAGATGTCAGCATCTAATCAGGGGTCATTTACTGCAGGAGCGCACAGGAGCGGAGCTCCAGCAGTAAAGAGCCCAGGGGGTGGGCACATGCAACAAGCCCCACCCCCTGCTCCCAGCAGCCCTCAGTCACAGCAAGAAGCAGCCAGGTAAATTGCAGAGCCCCCTCCCCCCCCCCGGTCCAAAACAGTCCAGTGGCATATTTAAGACCAAGTTTTATTCAGGTACAAGCTCTTCTTCCTCTGCAAGGACAGATCTGCATGTTCACCCCCCCCCAATAGCTAGCAATCCAAAACAGTCCAATGGAACCTGAGCAGTGGGTGTTGCCTTCTGACACATGTCTGGTGATGTCAGGGGGTGTGGCATATGCAAATGAGTTATGCTAATGAGCTCCTGCACCTCTTTTTCTACAAAATGATCCCTGTGGGCAATCATGAGCTCTCAGAGACTGGAGATAGCCAAAGGTACTGAGAGCCACCATGGGCCCCCGAACAAAGATTACACCCCCCCCCCATATGACACTGATCCAAACCAAATATCAACAAGTCATTTTGCTTGCTGTTTCCAGGAATCTATAGTAATTTTTAAAAAATCAGCCTGCCTGCCTATCTGTCCATTTATGCAAAGAATAACGAAAACAACCGTGATGTGGTATTATGAACATATATTTAGACTACTGTTCTATAGTGAATCGTATTTCTTCATCACATTATAAAAATATACGCATATCTGTGTATACGTATATTTTTATAATGTGATGAAGAAATACGATTCATTATAGAATAGTAGTCTAAATATACTTTCATAATATAACATCATGGCTGTTTTCGTTATTTTTTGCATCCTTCCTGTGATTTCTCTGTTGTTTCTACACATCTGTCCATTTATGGCAGGCATAAGTCATCGGCTATGGGGTCCACAGTTGGCAATCAGCTTCAGGATGATTGTGGGAGTTCTGTCATTTGTCATATAGCAAAGAAAGGGTTATTTGATCTTCCATCAATAACAACCCAGTGTCTGAACTGGGAGTTCTAACTTCTCGTCCACATGTATAACCACTAATGTAGATTAATGTTCTATTACCATGCATGTAAAAGTAGAGGGGAAAGTATCCTTTTACTACTTTTTTAGATCATAGGGAAATATCACCTCTCTCCCCTTCTGTTCATCGTATTAACAAAGATTTGCTACTATACTGCTACTAAGTATGTTGTATTGGCAAGCAGGATCGGGATGAGAAGACCAAGACTTGAAAATAAATTGGGGTTGGTGGTGGACAAATTAGGTGGAAGAAGAGAAAAATGAATGAGAAAAGAGTGGAAAAGAGGGAGAGAAATTAAGGAAGAGAGAGGGAAAGGCTCTTGCTGCAACACACTAACTACTACTTTTGCTTCAGTCCTGCAAAAAGGAAAGTCTGGCTGATAGAGCACATTTTATACTGTCCAGGCTTCCCTGCGCCCCTAGTGGCTGCAGTCAGAATTGCATCAAAGGGGGGTCATTGGAAAGGCATTAGTCTGAATGCAGTATGATGCTGGCTTCAGGGCCCGCCAGCTGATTTCCCTCCCCAATTTTGTCCCCCCAGTCCACCCCCATTGGTGGTCCTGGTGAGGGCTCACTGTTGATTTTTTGACCAATCACAGCTCGGCAGTACTTGCCATTGCTTGTTTTCAGATGAGTGGGCATGTGTGTAGCATAGCCTGATGGTGCACCAGAAATCTTTCTACATCGATGTGGATGGACCCTCTTGAAAGGAGATATTTAGTTCGTTAGGAGGAGGTGGCAGTACACATTCCTGTTGACTTACCGACCGATGAGAGATGGCTTTGATTTTAATGTGGACTTTGGATATCATGTTGGAATGAGCACAGAGACCAATACTAGGTAATGTGTACTTCTTGGTTTCCAACAGAACAAAGTTTGAGTCCAGTGGGACCTTTAAGACCAATAACGTTTAATTTTGGGTATAAGCTTTCATGTGCATGCACACTTCATTCTTGGTTTCCAGGTTGGTTTGCTTACAGCTCTGATCCTAACTGGGGGGGAAAACCACAATGGTGGTTGGGGGTGGTTATTTTTCGTGATATCCACTGTAAAAATGTGGTAGTCTGTGGGCAATGCCATATCTTTTTTTTTGCCACCCACCTATATGAGTGACCACTTATGGTGCTGGGAGGAAAACGCTACTGGGAATCTTGCTCAGCCCTACTCCAACCTGGAATCTGCCCTTTCTAAATTACATCAAGTAGTTAACTTGGATTGGAATATGCCCAAATATCTTGCTAAAATGGAACAAAATTTCTCCTTATATATAATTGAGTAGTGAGGTGGCACTTTCCAGCTCTCCCATTGGCTGTGCAATGTGCTCCCTCAGCCATTGGCCCATCAGCCGCCACTCAAGAGTACTTGCGTGCCCTTGGCCGGGTGCTGGGTATGCTCCTCTTCCCCACCCACTCCCACCTCAGCAGCTCTTCCCTGTCAGAATTACTGGCAAACGGCTGTCTCTCCCGATGAAGACACTTCTCCTGCTTGGCTCCTCTGTGGAACTAACTTTTCCCTCAGGGGCTGCTGGTAGAAGGAAACCCTTTCGAGGCCTTTGTGAGGAACTCATTGGGGCCCATCCTGACTAGAGATGCCAGCTCCAGGTTGGGGAATTCCTGGATATTCTGTGTTTAATGAAGCCAGTCTAAGGAAGCCAGAGTTTGGGGAGGGGAGAGGCCTCAGCTGAACATAATGCCATAGAGCCCATCATCCAAAGCAGTTATTTTCTCGGTGGTGGGTGGCAGATCTGTTGTCTGGAGTTCAGTTGTGATACCTGGCGATCTTCAGGCTCCACCTGAAGGTTGGCTACCCTAGGTGCAGCAGTTAGCGCTTCACAGCAGGGTCTCCAAGGCAGAGATCAGTTCCCCTATGGCATTAAACCCTGCTGAGTCCTTCCCCTCCCCAAATGCTGCCCTCCACATGATCCCCCCCCCAACTCTCCAGGTATTTCCCTATTCAGAGCTGGCAGCCCTGCTTTCCCCTCAGTGCCTGTTGCTAGGCAACCAAACTTGGTTCTGTCAGTAAAAGACCCTTTCCATGCCTGTTTTGGCCTTTGGGAGAAAACACATTGGGACCAGTCCTGACTAGGGTTGCCAGCTCCGGGTAGGGAAATTCATGGAGATTTTATGGTAGAGTCTATGATACCTGGCAATCTTCAGGCTCCATATGGAGATTGGCTACCCTAGGCATAGCAGTCAGCACTTCAGAGCACGGTCTGCTAGACCCAGGTTCTTGCTGTGGAAGCTGAATTGGTGATTTTGGACCAGTCACAGACTTTCAGCCTAACCTACCTCACAGGGTTGTTGTGCAAGTCAAAAGGGGGAGAGGAGAATGATGTAAGCTGCTTTGGTCCCCATTGCAGAGAAAGACTACTTTTCCTCTTGGGGAACCATTGTTGCCAATCTCCAGGTGAGGGCTGGAGATCACTCAGAATTACAACTGCTCTTCATATGGCAGAGATCAGTTCCCCTGGAGAAAATGGTGGACTCTGTGTCCTTATACCCTGCTGAGATGGCTCTTCTATGACAGCCAATGTGACATAGCAGTCAGGGCTTCAGAGCATGGTAGAGGCTGCAGGTGTGTGTGTGGGGGAGACAGAAAGCTGAAGAGTGAGGGGTA